GTCCAAATCAGGAGCTGGCAGACTACAGCCTGTGGGCCACAGCCAGCCCAGTCTGTTTTTGTAAAGTTGTATTGCAGTACAGCCATGCCAATTTGTTTGTGTATTATTTATGATTGCTTTTGTGCTGCAAAAGCAGAGTTAAGTCTGGGGCAGACACCACATGACCACAAACTCTAAAATATTTATTATCTGACCATTAGCAGAAAGAGTTTGCCAATCTCTGGTCTAAAGGATTGAGTTTGAAAGAGTTGCTGGGAGTTGAAAAAAGGAACTAGGTGGGCTAAGGTAGGTTTGCATTTTGGGGAGATCACTCACCTCATTTCCAGTGTGGAGAATAGATTGAATGGGAGCAAATGTAAAGGCTGTTGCTGTGGTCCAAGTACGTGGTGATGGTGCCTGGTTCTAGAAGGATGCCAGTCAGGGCTGAGAAAGAGACAAATGATTAGTTATTGATGATGAAGACGGGGAAGAAGCCAAGGATGGAGCCTAGGTTTTTGCCCTGAAGAACTGGTAGAATGGCAGGGCAGTAATTGAGAAAGAGAAAATGAGAGACGTTGTAAATGGAGACGTTAAGAACTCCGGGGTCAGACTGACTTGCTTTGCTCCTCAGTAGTTGTGGACCTGATCCATTTACTTAACCTCTCTAAGTGTTAATTTTCTCATCTACAGCAGGAATTTACATAGTAGCTGCTTTTTTTTTTCCTGTGAAATAAGAGATAGGATTAGAAGTTTGATTTGAGTAAAGGAAATCTGAAAGAACTGCAGTAGAGGACCAGAGAGCCATCTGACCAGGAAACACAGGACGCGGACATGGGTGTTAAGGATCCATTGAAGTTGGATACTACAAATATATCCCCGCACCAGGCTGAGCAGCTTGAGTTCAAGATCCCAGGAGTAGGCAAGGCCAGGATGGTTGGGTTTATCATTGCGGGGTATTGTACTGTATTTGTGCAGGAAAGGACAATGGGATAAGAGTTAAGGTTAAAGTGACGACCGTAGCACCAAGTTGGAGAGGGAAGGAAGTGAAGATACAAAAATGGGTGGATAGGCCAAAAGGGCCTGGCTTCCATGGCGTTAAAGAATAGGTGTAATGGGGATAACTGAATAAAGAACTGGAAAGGTAGGATTATAGACCATGGAGAGTGAGGTATTCTCATGTAGTTCTTTCTTCCAAGAGGGATCAGTTCTGAGTGATGGTAAGCACCAAGGTGAAACTTAGGAGGAAGAGGGCCAAAGAGGGGCGAGATGAATGCCACTGAAAATGAGGTGGTCAGGGGGAGGGGACAGCTCAAGTGGTGGAGCACATGCTTAGTAGGCATGAGGTCCTGGGTTCAGTCTCAGTACCTCCTCTAAGAATAAATAAATAAGTAAACCTAATTACCTCCCCCCACCAAAAAAATAGAAGAAAAAGAAAAAGAAAATGACATGGTCAAAGAAAAGTTTAAATGTGAAATAGGATGATCATGTTTCTCCCATAGACTTTATGTTGTGGACAAAATAATTATTTGTGAAAATACACTACCAATGGAAGTGTGCTTTATAAATATAATTTTTAAAATTCACTTTGCTGAAGTTCTTTAGTTTGACATAGCTATATAAATATAATGTGTTTAAAAATAGTCTCCTTATACATTTTGAGGCACACCAAAGTAATTGGTCTAATCTTTCTTTTCCTAAAATCCTTTGTGATGTTAATTACACAATTGCGTTGCCATTTGCATGACAGAGATGCTGTTATTTCAACTATTTTCTTCTTTTTGTATTAAATTTTTTGAGTATTTATGCATGAGAAGTAAATATTTGGAGGATTTCAGAAAAGAAATGAAGACAGTATAATTTTAATGTGCTTCACCCCTAACTTGAAGATACAGTGTAAGAATGAGTGCCTTTGATCCTGCAGACTTGGGCTTTGAAGATCAGTGTCCAAGTCACTTATCAATTCATTTTGGCAGCAGCCTCTTAAATAGCTGCCAGTTAACTGTTGATCAAGCCCATACTGTCCTCTCTTTAATATTCTATATGTTTTGATTTTGTTTAGGTTTCACAGAAATGTCTGTATAGAAGTTAAAGACCAGTAATGCATAATTTTGAGTCATTATGCAGAATTAATAGGTATCAGGGTTCAGTTTAAGAAAAAGAATACGAAATCTAAGTCATCAAACAAAATGAGCAATTAGGAATTAGGGTCAGAATTTCTATCAACTATGGCCAAGAATTTAGAGGTCAAGGGCTGGACTCCATCAGAATTAAAGCTGGGAGCACAGGAAATCGGAGTCAGTGCCAAGCCAAGGCCACAAGCACTGCCTGTGGAGTTGCCCTGAGAATCCACAGCAGAACATCCCCCAGCAAGTCACCACTGTGGAGGCGTTAAATAGCTCGTTTTTCACCCGCAACTAATCTCCCCTAAAGTACAATCTGCACACATACAGTCCACATATTTCCACGTAGGAGTTTTAGTGTGCTCCTGCCTTAGCCAGCAGGAAGTTAAGTTTGAGAAAAGTGGTCTAATCTCTGACTAGAGAAAAATTTTGGAAAGTTACAGGGTTCCAACAATAACCTTTTGGTTTCTTCACACCAAACTAGCGTCCTTAGTGATACATCGTCCCCATATGTTTCTGTTTTACCTTTTTAACCTTACGTTTTTACCATTTTGCCCACAAATGTAATACTTTCCTCATTGTGGGCATACAAATTGCATTCTAGTGCCAACGAAAATAATTATGTAACTATTAGAGCCTTACTATGTAAATAAGTGTTTTTACACCAGACCCTTGGGCGAACCTTTTTCGTTTCTCTTTAACAGATGTGTTATTTAAATTTATTAGTATTTTATGAAAAGCACTTGATTTTTAAAACTACTGTATTTTTAAATTCTGCTATATTAGTTACCTAAAACAATCTTAAATGATAGAGAATTTGGTTCAAAAATTTATTTAGACCTTAATGCATTTTAATTATAAATTATTTTTAACTAGAAAAAATGTGCAAATGAACTCTATTAAGAAACTGGAGATTTAATTGGGTAATCTGGACACCATCAGAATTCAGCAAATTCATATCAAAAGAATAAGGTCTCATCCTCTAGTCATTTAAAATCAACTTCAAAGAGAGATTTTTCTTTCTATAATACCCTCTCTGGAATGGCTATTCTCTATTGTGACATTCTAAGTATTTTACATAGAAATTTTTGCCGTGATAAACTAGTTTGATTTTTTTAGGATTTTTAAAAATAGGGTAAATGTAGCCTAATCTTATACTAAATGCTATGATAGTTGAAGAGATCAAAATAAGACATGATAGAACAGACATTGCACAAAAGAAGAAATACCATTGGCCTGAAACATGCCAACTTTTTTAAAGTTTTAAAAAGTGTATTAAACAGCAAATGAGAAACTCATTTTTTCTATCAAACTGGCAAAGATTTTTATTGTAATCCCACCTGTTAATGATGCTTTAAGAAAATGAACATTCTTCAAAAAAGAGGACACTAATGAACTCATCTGCAAAACAGAAACAGACTCACAGACATAGTAAACAATTTTATGGTTACCGGGGAAACGTGATGGAAAGGTATAAATTTGGGAGTTTGAGATTTGCAAATGTTAACCATTATATATAAAAATAGGTAAAAAAAAAACTTCTGTATGGCACAGGGAAGTATATTCAATATCTTACAGTAACCTTCAGTGAAAAAGAATATGAAAACATATATATATATATGTATATATATGTATGTATATGCATGACTGGGACATTATGCTGTATACCAGAAATTGACACATTGTAACTGACTATATCTCAATGAAAAACAAAAATAAGAGCAAACAGAAAAAGAAAATGAACACTCTTGTACATTGATGCTGGGAATATAAATTGATACAACTCTTGGGGAGGCAACATGTGTCAAAAACCTTAATAATATACAGATCTTTGATCTAAGAATTCTGTTTTTAGAAATTTATCCTCAGCAAATAAAGGTGTGGAAAGCAAATGTACAAGGACATTTGCTTAGGTAGTTTAAATATTTATTATTTATTTAAAAAATTGAGATACAGTTAACATAGAACATTGTATTAGTTTTAGGTATACATTTAGCATAATGATTTGATACATGTATATATTGCTAAGTGATTAGTTTAGTTAACATCTAACACAATAAGTTTAGTTAACATCTGTCACCACACATAATTACAAATTATTTTTTTCCTGTGATAAGAACTTTTTTTTTTTTTGGTTGTGTATTAAAATTTATTCTGCGACAAGGAGGTACTCACGTAGTAGTTGTCTAAAAATGTTAAAAGACTTCAAAGAACAAACACAAAAT